TAAATACCGTAATTTCATTAACTGATATACCATTTACGGTAAATTATACGGTATTTTTCACTTCCAAAAACGGTATACTACCGTAAAATTTATGTCCAATACATGTAACGTCCAATACAGTTTTTCACCGTATATAGTAGGGGAATTTACCGTTAACCATTTAACAGGTTTTTACTGTAGCATTTTTACAGTCTTTTACCGTTAAATTCACAGTCATTTTTTACAGTGATATATATATATATATATATATATATATATATATTACTTTATTTCAGCTTTGATTTCAGTTTTTGTTTTAGCAACAATTTTTAACATGTAACACTAGTCTCACCAACAGCTCTGGTCAAAGCCATTATTTGGAAGGGATCCCATAAATCGTAATAAATAACAATAACATAATAAAATAACTAATCATCAGCTATTTTTAATTTGTATTTATGTTAATACCATTTATTTGAAATTGTTAAAATATTTAAATCAATTTAAATTGCTAAAATAACATTTATTCACAGACATACAAAGACTTCTATTGCAATGTGTACTCATAGACCTATGCAGCCAGTCACATTCACACCTCCATTACCATTTCCCTCTCAGCCGTCAAACATGCCCTTGTGATTACAACGGGATGCTCTTAATCTCAATGACTGTTATCTTATCATACCCTTAACCCTTGCTGTTGAGCAAATGTCAACAGGGCACCGAGACCTTGAGTGCTACAAACAAACCTCAAAGACAGATAGAGGGAATGTGAACTTTAGCACTCTGCCAGCGTCTCGCCTAATTCAACGAACTTGACAGTTAATGAAGTGCTTTATTTTCACCCATCTTCTCATACATAAAAGCCTGCCACACCAATTAGCTTTAATTCACTTTTTTTCTCCTCTCTCTTTTCTTTTCATGCTTTCAAGCCTGCAGAAAGCGCTATATCCCAATCATTTGCATTATCCAGAGAATCTGCTTTGAAGTTGTGAGATACTGTAAGAAAAAGGGCTCCACTTATCCCGCAGAAAAAAAAAACGGAAAAAAAAAAACGTTCAAAGCCTCTAAATACTCTGGAACAGATGTACATTATCATTGGATTTGCGTTTTCGCCTCTTTGCTCCTGTATGGTTAATAGTGTAGCGCATAGTCGTGTGTCCCTCACATCCTCTGTGTTTAGCATCTCCTCTCAACAGAAGCTAGCACCCCCCTGGGCCAATCCGCACTTCAAAGCACTGTGTCTATCTACAGGAGACAAAGCGCACTCCACACATATGGAAGCAGCCTCCTCACTCACGCTCAAGTCAATAGCATCATTCGCTGACTTGCTTGCTTGCTGTCTGTTTGTTTTTGTGACGCAGAGATATGGCTCTTTCACACCTACAGTCCCCACCATCCTCACCACACAAATCCAGCACCCAATGTGAACCTGGTGTCACTTTTACACTCTTGTGGAAAATATTTGTTGAGTTGAGGAGAAAAAAGTCCTAGGAGAAAGGAAAGTAGGCGTAGTTCAAATGTTAGCGCATAGTGCTAGCAATGCTTAAAGGTCATGGGTTTGATTCCCAGGGAATATGCATGCTGATAAAAAATGTAGGTTGAATGCACTGTTACATTTGATAAATTAAATGTAAGCTTCTTGTGCAGACAATACTGGGACAACAAAATTGTTGTTCTGTATAGCATTCACTCTTAAATTGAATTTAAGACTGTACAAGTACAGTACAGTAAATTGGTGTATTCCCATAGTGCTGCTTACTTACAGCAAATTTTATTTATCTATCATACATTAAATTGTATAATCTACCTTTCTAAAGTTTGAGGTCTTTTGAAAGAAATTCATACTTTTATTTAGCAAGGATGTATTAAAATGATCAAACTTGACCATAATAATTTCTGTTTCAAATGCTGTTCTTTTGAACTTTCTATTTCTTCAAAAAATCCTCAAAAATGTATCACGGTTTTAAAAAAAAATTAAGCAGCACAACTGTTTTCAACACTGATAAAGAAATGTTGGTCCCACTTTATATTAAGTGGCCCTAATACCTGTGTACTTGCATAGTAACTAGATGTGTACATAGTAAGTAACCACAGTGCAAGTACACATTGGTACATAGTATCTACAGCTCTAATGGTTGTGTAACTACACATATGTAACAACCCACTGAATGGTATGTGTAAGTACATGTAACAGGACATTGGTAACAACACTTTTTGGTAATGAAAGTACAAATGTGTAGCAGGACTAACAGCACGGTTTGGTAAAGAAAATGTTACACTTTATATTAGATTTACCATGTAATTACTCTGATGTTACACAGCAGCGGCCAGTAAGTTAGGCTTTACATATAAATTGTGGTTGGTGTCCAGAATGTTACACTTTATATTAAGTGGACAGTTCCTGAGGAGTTAGTACACTGGTATTACAGTGATGCACCAACTCCACCAACTTGAGATCCAACTCCTCCATATCCCTAAACCTACCCATCTCCACCCCCTGGATCAAATGGTTCCAATTACTCTTATGCATATTGTTGTTACAAAATGTAGTTATATAATTCCTGTTACATGAGTACTTGAAAAAAGTGTTGTTACCAAAGTCCTGTTACACATTTGTACTTACACAAACTATTCTGAGGGTTGTTACATGTGTGTAGTTACAGAAATATTACAGCTGTAGATACTATGTACCAATGTGTACTTACACTGTGGTTACATACTACGTACACATCTAGTTGCTATGTAAGTACACAGGTATTAGGGACACTTAATATAAAGAGGTACCAGTAAGGGCTGCTTAAAATTTAGCTTTGCCATTAAAAGAATAAATTACATTTTGAAATATATTCAAACAGCAAACACTTATTTAAACTTTTATTTTACAATAATGCCATTCTTGCAGGATTTTTGTTCTTGGTGAGCATAAGAATTTTTCCAGAAACATGAACAAACCTTACCGACTCCACACAGTAGTCTATGTGGAGATTGAGATGTGTTAGTAGCTTGCTGTAACTTAAAACTTACAAGACTTCATTACTTTCTTTGGCCATGTGTTAGACTGAAACTGTGTGAAACATTTGAAGCAAGACATGCAAACAACATAGATTAACAGAGGGCATGCAAAAGTATTTCTACTCACAAGCAGAAACAGATCTCTGCATGCAGCCATGATGAGTGTACATGCATGTAAAGAAATCAGCAGAACATTCTCAAAACCAACGCTAACGGCCAAAGAAATCACAGCCACCCAGTCAGTAAGCAACAGTTCAGCTTTTAATGAAAGGTTTTCTCTTGGCACAGGTTTGCTATTAAATAAATAAAGCAATTATTTCCATCCATCTATATAAACTAAACAAAAAAGCATGAAAAATTATTAGGAAATGTCACAAATGAGCTGGTCTAGGGTTCGGCTGTGGCATGAAATGCTACCACATTGTGTTATTTATGTACAAGCACCTCCATGAATCATTTGCTGTGAGCCTGAGTGTGTTGTCCTACACACTCACTCAATCACACTAAACAAAAGCACAATAGAAATCAAGAAATGTTGTAAGTACAAACGGCATTATACAAAATAGCCATTCATCCAGATAAATAGCGCAGAATCCAACTAACATACTGTTATCACCACAGCTGTCCGCTCATGATGTATTTACAACCATCAGGCAAGCGAACCTATCAAACATCTAAACAATTTTAGTGTGATGATTTTTTAAAGGATAAACAAGAACACTGTGGGACAATAACGAAATAACACAAATGAATCTACTGTGCATTTAGATGTTTTGCACATGAGGCATGTTTAAATTTTTCAATTTCTCATGATGCCATGGATTTTTTTTTATTTATTTTTTTAGCAGCAATATATGTTTAAGAAATGGTCAGAATCATTTAAAATGGCAACATCTCACCATAAACAGAGAGAGCATGAGAGGGAGAGCTAAGCTCCTTAACACATTCACTCCCCTGCAACAGCAAAACTGAGTGAAGGTCGAATGTCTCTAACTTACTAGCTGTGATGAGACCACCCTGAAGCTGCAGGTGGGTTTTCCAGAGTTTAGTGTAGTGTGATGCTCTCACATTTCCACCGTCCTCTTGAGCAGAAGAGTCAGCCGATCTCACTCTAAACATATCAGCAAGTCGAACAGGTTCTAACCAAACATAATCAACTCATCTCATCACTGACAAAATTCTCAATTTTAACTGCTGTCCATATTGGGACCCAAAATTGCAAGAACAAGTGCACATTTTTATAACTTTCAATACAAGTTTTTTTTTTCCTCTGTATAAAATCATCAAAAAAGAGAGATGAGAACAATTATATCGCACAAACGTGGAGTATTAAAACACCTGCTGTGATCTTCAACACACACCTGCTTTGCAGAGTTTGATTGAAGGCTGTTGTGTTTCATAATCTTCCGTAGTGCTGGTTTCAGATGCACATGCACTCATTAACTCTCTGTCAGTGGGGTATTGGTGAGTTATGGGAGGACTGGAGACTTCTAGGCGGCGATACTGTCATCCTGCCCCTGAGGAATGAGGCAGCTGCCATACACACCCACTCACTCCCTCTAGGTGACTTGGGATACATCGAACCTAAAATAGATTCATAATGTACTATTTAAATGCTGTTTTAAACTGCTGCATGGGAACAGATGAACTCCTACCAGACTTGTTTTCTCGCTACCTAACTCACTTCTGCCAATACCGAGCTAAAGGCACTGACATACTGTCTAAAAGATTCTAATTCAGTTTGAGAACATATTCTTGGATTCTGAAAGAAATTAAAAACTCTAAATGGTGATTCTGTACAAAAAAAAAGCTGTGGTTCACAGTTCCCTTCAAAACCAATAACACCGTCTTGTCAAATCAATGACTCAAAGGTGAAATGAACCTGAGAAATAAAAATACTATTTTTCCTTGGCAGCACAGATTCCTTTACACTTTACAACTTGAATTATCTGAATTGACTGAACTAATAAGAAGGAAAAGTTGAAACCACAACTAAACAAGCAAAAGATACAATAATATCAGGTGTAATATATTCAATGTTTTCCAATCATTTGATTAGACCCATTTTGACTTGCCATAAACCTGACAGGAATATGTTTCAAATAAATTATTTTTTTAACAAGCTTCAAAACATTATTCTACAATCATCAGAAGATTATTTTTAAGATTCCATATTATCTGATACACATAATTACACTATAAACTCTGATGCCTAGTGGTCTTAGAATGCAATTAGCTTAAAGTTACAGGGACAGGAAAACACCAAAAACAAAACAAAACAAAGCAAAAAAACATATTAATAGAAATGTTTCAGTAATAAAGCTTACAATGGATTTAAATCCAATACATCTTGACATGACTGCAGATTGTTGGCATATTACAACAGACAGACAAATAAAACATAAAATCTGAATAAAAAATTGTCAATAATACCGATAATCATAATAATACTAGAGGTAGCAGCTGATTATGATGCTCTGTTTTCTTCATGTAGATTGGTAGAGTGTAGTTCTCATACTGTCCTTCAACAAAGTCCTTTTTGGCGGTTTTAGTGTCTTTACTGGCTCTTTTATGTACACGTGTCCTGTATTGCATTTTTAAAGGTGTTGATTCAGATCTGTTGTTTTGGAGAGAGAAGCTCTTCATAGATAAAGTGTCTCGAATGCAATGGCACAAGAAGTGCTTTTCAAGTGGTCTTCAGTGGAAAAAAGAAAACAAAAAAGGATAAGTGTAAAAAAGACACCTTAGGCACACATAGATGCGCAGATTGTGCGCGCACACGCATACACAAAATGTAAGTTACAAAACCAAGGAATTGTATTCCTTCAAAAGTGGTTTGACAACTCAAAATTCTTCATTTAACAGGGCTGACCACCTTTTCAACCAAATAGACCAATCAGATAAGAATTAAGAGAGGGAGAGAGAAAAACAAAAGGAGGCAGACAGAGTGATAGAGAGAAAAAAAAATAGAGAAAAGGGAAAGATAGAGCCCTTACGTAGTAAGCAAACCTCTCCTGCTGCCAAAGACAGGACTGAATACATCAGCACACATTCAAACCGACCCACATAACCTCTCTCACACACACACTTATATATACAAATGCGTACATATTGTCTGCCACTTTGGCATGAACATGATGCTTTGTGTCCTTCTCAGCCTCAATGTGGCCATGCAAGAATATTTAAGATCATTCAATTGTTACGTTCCTCATTGTTATTCTTATTTAGATCCTTTATGTAGCCCATCTGTTTTACTCTTCAGGACTGATAGAAGTGATGGTAGTGATGATGATGTTCATGATGATGATGATGCTCGTGTCGCTGGACCACCTGAGCTAGTCCTCCTTCATATAGCACCAGACTGGGCAGATCCCTCACATGCTCTTTCTCCACGACTGGGCCAGACTTCACAGTCGGCCCAAGAGCCCGATAGTGCAGGCCTTCTTTAGGCCTCTGCTTGTGTCGTCGGTACGGGCCTGAGCTTTGGTGCGGAGGGATCTGGTTGGGGATCGCTGGGGGAGGGGGCGCTCCTCTTCTTATCACCCGACCAGCGGAGGCCTGTGTGGGCGGCGTACGGTGCGTTTTGGGGGAACGGAGTGCGTGTGTGTGCCGGGAGAGGATGGCAGGAGGGTCTGTGGAGATGGTCTGTGAGCGCCGATGATGAGCGGAGTACGCGTGGCCATTCTCTGGTTCCTGAGAACGTGAGCGTGTCTGATTGGATGAACGTGTTGTATGGTTGGGTTTTGCTGGTTCTGTGGCAGGAGCTGCTAGAGGAAGCACAAAATAATTTGTTTTAAGGGTTATTATTATAAATATGTTTTATTAGTATATAAATAATTGTGCCTTTACCAAAAAAATATTGTTAAAGGGATAACATCTTCGGAACACAAATTAAGATATTTTTGATGAAATCCGAGAGCTTTCTGACCCAGCAACACAACTACTACATTCAAGGCCCAGAAAGGTAGTAAGGACATCGTTAAAATAGTCCATGTGACATCAGTGGTTCAACCGTAATTTTATGAAGCTACAGGAATACTTTTTGTGCACAAAGAAAACAAAAATAATGACTTTATTCAATAATTTCTTCTCTTCCATGTCAGTCTTCACTGCACGTTCATGAAAGAACTGATGCTTGTGTGAATTCCTCTGCTTGCCAACAAGCAAGCAGATGCAGCACATCCAGGTTCTGCGTCAATAAAGTGATTATTTTTGTTTTCTCTGTGCACAAAAATATTCTCTTAGCTTCATAAAATTACAATTGAACCACTGATGTCACATGAACTATTTTATTGATGTCTTTACTACCTTTCTGGGCCTTGAATGTGGTAGTTGCATTGCTGTCTATGCAGGGTCAGAAAGCTCTTGGATTTCATCAAAAAAGTCTTAATCTGTGTTCTGAAAATGAACGAAGGTCTCATGGGTTTGGAACAGAGCATGTGAGCGAAGCGGAGCGGTGTGACGCTCCGCTACGTTTTCCGCTCTATGGACGTGCGCTCCACTCAGTCGCTCTAACCGCCCAAGCAAGCGCTCCGTTAATATTCCGCTCACGCTCACGCTAAAAATAATATTTTAATAGGCCTAAGTGGTGTAGGCTAATATCTTCTGTACTCTGTAGTTCTGTATGTAGGCCTATATACAGCTGTGTGTTAGCTTAGGTCTACAGTTTAACTGAGATTATTTAATAACTACAGAGCTCCGAATATAATTTGAATTAACAATTCGTTTCTACGACGTCAGCAGGTTTTATTATTTTTTTTATTAATTTATTATTATTTATTAATTTTAAGCAATAATGATTTTAATAAGTAATTACGAAATATAATAATTCGTTCCACGATTTAGGCCTACTAAAACTAGGGAATGAACGAATTAACAAACGAATGAATTCGTGCCAGCTAAGTCTAAACAAGAGAACGAATACTTAATTCGTGGCCATAATTTAGACTAAACGAAAAAATTAATTCTTAATTCGTGGCCATAATATAGTCCTAGCATAAAAGAGAACTAGCCTATTCTAAATTCGTGGCCGTGATTTTGTCTGCATGTCATGATCGGGGCTCCGTACAACCGAATATAACCTTAGCCTACCTGTTTATTCATTTATTATGGTATGTAACTAGCTCACCTTTTGCTGCACCATGTTTGCGTAGCACATCTTCATGCTCTCTGTAATCAATATGAATCTGTACTAACTTTAACAGTCTCCCCGCACTCCCTCTCAGTTTCTTCTCCCTGCTCATTCTTAACTTTGATTTTTACTTTACATTTATGTATAAGGCTTGCAACTTCGTTGAAACAATATCTGAACTCCATAACTCTTAAGGAAATATTACCACTCCGCTCCCCGCTCCGCTCCGCTCACATGCTCTGGTTTGGAATGACATGAGGGTGAGTAATTAATGACAGAATTTTCATTTTTGGCTGAACTATCCCTTTAAGTGTCAAGTCATTTTATGATCTCTTGAAAATTATATATGTTCAGGTGCATGTTATCATAAACGGGTCAGCACTAAATACAGACGTACCAAGTGGTCCAAAACACTTTTATGACCTGATCACTTAAATCAAATTTGGAGTCAATGACATTTATCCATTGAGCTGGGGGTTTTAGACTTTTCTGGTTCTTGTGCAGATTTTTAAGAAAAAAATAATCATTAATATTTATAAAACCTGCAAAATGTGTAAATATACTTTTATTTATTAACAATTCATGTTCGTTCATAAAACACAAACTAATGTTATACAATTTAAAATTTTGAAAATGTATATGCAAAAATTAACATTGACTAATAAATCCTGTCTTATGAAAAAGAAAAGCACTTCTTATCTTCTTCTATCTTACAGTAAGATGTTACTGATGCATGTGACACATCAATGTTTTTGGGCGGATTGGTTGTGACTGGATCACACGAGACATCAGCACGAGACAATGAGAAAACTCTGTTGGCTCCATTTACTTTTTGCAATTAAGATTGTACCTGTTCCAAAGCGGGATGTGTAGTTTTCAATGCCGGCCAGGTCAAGGTAATGGTTTCTTCTCTCCAAGTTCTCATCCACACAGTGCCGCTGGCAACCTTGCTGGTTGTGGTGATCAGCATGGTAACGCCTAATACAACAGCATCATATTGTCATGACTGCAAGTACATTGCTCTGAGGTTGTGTACACAAAGCGGGCTTGAACCAATCATTGTCCGTTAAATGTTAATTTCTTTAAAGATTCTGTGACATGTTCTTCCAAAGTTTATATATTGTAGTTTTATCCAACAGTTACAGACACTAATGTGTGAAACTGATTTACATATGAAATTAAGCTACATAAACAGACCACATCATAAGTACCTAAGAAAGGCTCTTGACTTTTTCTCTGAAGTCTTGGAGTCCTCAATGCACTTTTCTCCCTTATGCTTGGGATGGGGAGTGTCTGTTGGAGGCAGAGTGAGTGAGAGAGAGAGAAAGAGAGAGAGACGAGGGGGTCTTTATCAAAGAGAATGGCGTTGAGTTGCACAACATCACACACGCGCACATATACTGAAGCAGCTTTAAAGACCAACCAAAATAAGAAAGAAACCTTTGTTCCCTGCTTTCTATTTACTTTGAAGGTTCATAAAAGAAGAAAAAACAACAATGCTTCATTTATTTTATTTTGAACCTCAGGCCTCATATAAATCTAAAAAACACACACTTGTGAATTTGCATGAAGACAGCTGCTGTTCAAAGGCTCTTCTCTTTCAAATACATGACGGGTATAAATAGCCCAAATGACAGCACTAAACAAACAGAAACACTTCTGTTTCTTCAGAGTACTTTCTGTTCTCCTTCACATTGTTTTTTACCAAGTAACACAGTTAGAAAGTGGCTAAATGTGGATTTATTTATTTTTCAAACAGCAAAAGACTATCTGAGCAAAGAGGGATAAGATAGCACTTTCCAAAAGGAATCCAAAAGCTCAGAGCTGCAGAGGTTTGGGTTTTTTCTTTCTCTCGTCTTCTGCCTTTGACTATGAACTCATCTTACAAGAGATGCAATGACATGGAAGACAGGGAAAAGGAGGAGGGCAATAGTGTAGGAGACAGCATAACAAGAACTTAGAATTGATCTCCCGAAAATTCTGTCATCTTCTACTTGCCCTCATGTCCTTGTTTTTATGTTTTTTTCTCTTTTATAATTGAACACAAAATGTGGTATTTAACACAAAATTTGGTATTTAACAAAATGTCAAGGATGTACTTGTCTAATGAAATTGAGACTGTCAAGTTTAAAAAAAAACAAAAAAACAATTACACATCGCATCTATACATTACAGTTTGACCATCACACAAATCTCTTGTCGTATTGACTGCTTTTTAATGTCATTTTGATCAAATTTGATTGATCCAGTTACCATTAATTATAACTGTGTGGAAAAGAGCAGCATCAACATTCTGCTAAACTCCCTCTTGTGTTCCATGGATGAAATAAAGTCATACAGGTATGGAACAACATGACGGTGAGTAAATGATGACAACTGCATTTTTTAGTGAACTCTCCCTGATATCCCTTAACTAATTTTCTGTTGTTCTGAGCAAACTCTCTCTATGTACCTGTGTTGGTCTGGCTGCAGTTCCTCCATTTCTGGCTGGAGTCTGGAGCAACAGAGAGCTTCACCCTGAGGGTCTTACTGCTGCTGGGGGAGTGATTCACTGACGTGTCCACCACCTCATATATGGTGTGCAGTAGACTGGTGATGTCCTGGATGTGGAGAGATAGAGAGGGGAAAATAACATGAAATTAAGAGATCTTCACTGACACGAGACGGTCCATTAGTCTTTTATATGCTGTGCAAGCCTGTACGTGATATATGATAAGATACATGCATTATTCATAATTCATACACGGACATGTCCATAATAATATGTTAATCAGAGTCTCCTTAGCCTCAGGGAGGGAAGACAGATGCTTCAGCATGTGGAAATGAAATGTAAATGCAAAGCAACTATGAAGCTGAGGAAAACAGGAACTGTGTGGTACGGCGCAAGAAAAAAAGACATTTAGTATGCCCTGTTAGAGTTATCTCTGTTGCTGGGCTTTCCCATGACAAAAGATATCAGTCACTGTCCCTAATGCACAGATGTCTCATTCAGTCTTACCTCTCTTGTGACCTTGCCATTGTTATCGAAGTCATAGAGGGTGAAAGTCCACTCCTGCCTGTTATCTTCTTCAACTGATACGGCGCACTCCAACTCCTGATTAATAAACAACAATGGATAATCATGGTTTCAGTAACACTCATTTAAAAGACTGGTCATAAATTTTGGGTTGCCATGATTTTGTTGATTTTTTTTTTAAAGAAGTCTCTAATGCTCACCAGAGCTGCATTTATTTGATCGAAAATACAGCAAAACAGTGAAATCTTACATTTAAAATAACTATTTTCTCTATTTTCATTCATTTTAAAATGTAATTTGTTCTTGTGATAGCAAAGCTGAAATTCCAGCAGCAAATGTGTCAAATGATCCTTTAGAAATCATTCTAATATGCTTATTTGGTGCTCAAGTAACATTTCTGATCATTATCAATTGAAAATAGTTGTGCTGCATAATTTTTATGGAAACTATGATGCATATTTTTCAGAATTCTTTGATTATTAGAAATTTCAATAGAATAGAAATGTATTTGAAATAGAAATCTTTTGTATCATTATGTCTTTAGTGTGACTTTTAATCAATTTATTTTTAATGTTTTAATCCTAGCAGAATAAATGTATTAATTTCTTTAAAAAGCCAACTAAATATGTTTGTTTGTTTGTTTTATACTGACCTCAAACTGTAATTGTTTGTGTGGGCCGACAGTGGCAGAGGCTTCAGTGTCCTGCATTCTCTCTTCCGCACTACAGCTGTCGGTCTTCTCAGGGGGCAGGGCCACTGCAGGGGGACACACATTCACATAATGGTGTCAAATGCTTTTTTAAAGCATAACAAATGCTTTGAAAAATGTAAGAAATGTCATACTTAAGAAATGTTGTTATTGTATTTTTTTTGTCTTCATCTCATGTGACTGTTACTCATTTTGAACATTGTTCAGAAGTGTTATTCATTTCTAAATATTGAAATGCAGCTTTATGAGCATATATGAACTAAAATAGACAGATGAGAGAAGGGAAAGAGTTAATTGAGAATGCCTAGGAAGCACCTAGCTATTTTTGAATGTAGCCATGTCATCTCTGCTATTGCAGTCATATTACACTGAAGACACTCATAAAGTCTCATAGAATGGGATATAAACCTTCAGCCAAAATTTGCAATCACACGCTGAATATTAATCTCAGAAGTACATGTTCCTCTACACACTTTGTTAGAGTCTTGGAAAGCAATGATGGACATGTGGCACACACGTAGCTCATGTCCACATCACAATTCAGGACCATTTTTTGTGCAGTGGCAGCACTTTCACAATGGATTGTCTTACATCCCCACTAAGTGAGCCAAAGCCAACAAAACTCTCTAAGATGTTTAGGTAGGATGAGGAAGAAACCCAAGGAATCAAGACAGCAGATAAAAATGTAAACAGTTTAAATCAAGACACAATGTGACAGTAATGTCATCAATGATGTTAAACGGCACTGATCGTGACATGCTGAGTTTAATATGTCACAACTGAGATTTGGGTTCTTCAGCTGAAGGCAAGATTTTCAGTCAATAACCACTTGAGAGAGTTTTGGTCTGTTTTTCAAACAAAACTATTGTCAGACTTGGAAGGCTAGAGTTATTATAATGCTGTTTTACCTTTGAAGCTTCACAGTGTCTACATTGCACTTAACTGTCTTCTTTTTTGTTCCACAGAAAGAAAAAAAATGACATACAGGTTTGGAACAAGACAACAGAATCGTCATTTTTGGGTGAACTGTCCCTTTAAGAGCAGACTATGGGAAATCAGCGCTATGCCTTGCTAAAGCTGCAAGTATAAATGCATAAACAGGCCTAACTGCTGCCATCACATCCTAAGGCCAGGCTTCACAAACATCCTCGATATCCTATTTGTGTCTATGTCTGAAATCACAAGCAAATTTAAAGCGAGTCGCTGAGAAAGACGAAGTCTAACAGCGGCCCGTTCTGATGTAGAGAATGCCTGTCAGGATTAATCCTGAACTCAGTACCCAAATTTCAGAGGCAGTTTGTCTCTTTGTGTATTGTGGGTAATAAGATGGAAATGTTTTAAACGAGAGCAGATCTAACGCAGCTCAGTGAGGACACGGCTCAGCACCAGGCTGGGTCCTGCAGGCTAAATCCTCCCCCTGCCCCAAATCCCTGCGCTTTGAAGTTCCATTCTCAAACCTTTTGGCCCAGGATCAGTCCGTCTGTAAAACAGAATCTCTAATTAATTAAGCAAAGTCAAATCTGAAACAGTGTTTGTTGTACGAGCCAAAAGGATAGGCAGACACAACAGTATCTCTCTCTGTCTTCTCTCTCTCTCATTCATTTCTCCTCCGCTGATCCGCTCAGATCAAAGAGGACCTGTCTTGTCCCTCTGCAGCGAGAGGCAAGGGAGGATGAAAAAAGAAAAGAAAAGCACCAGAGGATGAGAGCAGTCGTCCCAGGGAGCTTTTACAGGTTTTTTGGAGGGAAACAGCGTCAGATCAGGGCTTTTGATCAGGGCCAGAAACTCAAAGGCAATGCTGAGCTCCAGGGCCAAAGCCTGCTTGCCAGCCAGCTCCCAATATACAGGAGCTGTTTATCTAGAGGACTAACAAATGGTCACAAAGAAACTATACACACACACACACACCATACACACAAAGGAAGTGCTAACTCTCACAGCAATAGTCAAAGTCCTTCCCCACCGAGTGATGAGACAGCCAAACCCGCTACAGAGCTCCGATGACGGAGCTTAAAAACCACGCTATACAACACAGAGGGCAGCTTGGCAGCGTCCCAAAGGTGGCTTTGAATCTAAAGGTTCACCTGGAGTTCAGAGTAAACTGTGTGGTGACTGGTTAATAGCTAAAGCCTAGTGTGTTTCCTCAGTGTGGATGCTTGGTACAGGCTAAAGTGCAGTATAACTGTAACAACAAGTAATCTAATCTTTTCAAGTTCCTTGGTCAAAACTTCACATCCTTGCCTCCAAAAGTAGGGTTTTGCCTAAACAATCTTTTAACATGCTGCCATGAGCTTAATTAGCTAATTATGACATCCTGATGACGAATCCAGCAGGTTTGGGGGAAACTACAAAACTACATTGCTCCCATTAAAATGAAAAAGCTATCTAGACTCAACTGTATTGCTATCAAGATATCTTTCTCCATGAATTTAAAAACACTGCCATATGACCTCTGTATGTGTACATATATGATGACAAAAAAAAATCTTTAAAAAAAGGGTGCCATATCGAATTCCAGAGTTACCAGTCACAGTACAATTTAACTCCTTACTATGAGGCAACAATAACACCACAAACACCTAGCCAATCATATCTCTCCTTGACTGACCTTTGATCCACACAGATATGAGCGGACCACTTTCAAGCATGTATAAGCTGCCTGTAAACGTTGTTTGTAAAGGAATCTGACCTGTTGCTGCCTCTCGATGATGACCTTCAATTCAAAGTCAAATGATTCGATTTTCTTTTGCCTAAAACCTAGATAAGAATCTTGATCCCCAAGCAGATGCTTTCATTACAACAACAGGAGATGGAATATCAGCTTAAAAACCTTATCTGATTTTTGACAATAAATCTTTTAAAATGCAACTATGAGTTTAATTAGCAAATTACGACCTTCAATTTACAGTCAAATGACTCAATCAAAATTACAAGAAACAAATCATACTATGTCAACATTGTGCAAATGATTTAACAGAAGACATAATGATACTGAGCAGAGGAGAGATCAGGAGCTACATGCAAGAGAACATCAGTTGCTCAGGGGATATAGTGAGATAATTTACCTTCTAAACGATAACATTCGTCACTGATACCTTCAGCATAACCTTCATCCAACAGGTCCTGCAGAGACAGTGGAAAAGAGAGTTAGGCTTCTTTAAAAGAAAAAGACTGTAAGAAGATAACATGACAAGCAATGACAGTATTTTAGACAAAAAATGAATTTTTGTGCAATTTGTATTATAATGACAGGAAATTACAGTGAAAAGGGTGAATTTGATGAGGATACAATGCAGGCTGGGTTGAAACTTGCTTCCTCTACTTGAGCACCTCACAATGGGTGTGAACATCTCCAAAGACTAGATGAATGACATTATAGAGTGACTGAAAATCCTAAAGAGTAATAGATAAAATTGACACGATTCTGTCTACGCATCCCATAACAGACAATATAAGCAGGTGTGGATACTGGAAGTGTCTCATCTAAGATATTAAACCATGCTACACGTCTATAACACTTCTGTCAAGTTACAAACCAACCATCAGTCTAGAAGAAGACTATTGTCTCAACACACCTGCTACCTTTGTCTAATTTCAACACTCCAGCTGTCTGCATACTAACAATTAATTTCTCTGGCCCAAAGACTGACCGTACAGCCTCCGCTGAAGCTCTGCAGCTGCGTGTGTGTACATGCTGCTTCTGCCAATGAGGAGCTGCTTTGTCTTCATCCACATTAGACAGGCGCACTAAATGTCTTGCTGTAGTGCCTCAAGCCATACACTGGCCGCTAGAGACACAAAGCCGCGCACACAAACACACACGTTCACCATAATGCTCAAGAGGTTAGCCAACAGCATGTGAGGGGAACACGCTAATTATGCGTTGTCTGGATGATGGATGGGCTGCATTTTAAATATGAGTTCTTCTCAGTTGGTTGAAATGAGAATCGGTCAGCAGAAATTCTTCTTCTTTTATTTATTTCTTTTTTGTTCTCTCTATCATTCAAGGTCAAGTTTGGCTAAAGCACTACTTGGCCCTTTCAAATGAGTGTGCTGTGTTTGAGAGCGTGGATATGTGGCTATGTGTTGTTGCGCAGGACATTGAGGGCTGTGAGAAATTCACTAATCCCTGAACTTCACCTCTAAGTGGCGTTTAGCACAATCACTGTGGCGTCTGTCCGCCCCTCTCAGTCACTCTTAAAAAGCTCTATAGAGTCCCACCCACCCCCATATATTAAAGCCCCTTTTCTTGCATCTTTGCTCCACCACAGTGCAATATATGTGAAAATGTCTCACACAGCCCTAACAATAACAATAAACATTTTTAGTTAAATATTTCCTTTCACAAACCCAAGAATGTCTCACAATGTATTAAAAAAAACAAATCAGAAACTAAATAAATAAATACTAAACTGAATAAAATAAAATACTAATATACATTACAAATATATAAGACTATTTTATATAAGCCTATTTATGGTAAATGTCCATGTTACCTTTTACTAATGAAATCCAGCCACGTTCCAAACAGGAGTGCTAAGCAACATAAACCACATAACACACGGAGAAACTGCATTGCAGTGACCTTGACCTCTGAGACGGTCCTTCTTTTTTTAAATTGCATGTTTTTGTACACTTTCCAGATAACATCAGAGGCTAATTGGCTGTGGAGAGTGTAATCAATAGAGGCTGATCTCTCTTCAGCGGTGTAATGAGAGGCTGAAGAGGGATCTGTACACACTCAGCGTGTGTGAGGGTGACCATGTGTTTCAGGTCAAGTGCCATTTATAGCGCTAAGAAAAAAATGGGACAGAGTTTGCGAGCGAAGAGTAAGAGAGAAGGATAGGGGCTTTGATTAAAAGCATTATCTTCGAATTTCACAGATGAAGTCTTGTGAGCGACATTTTAAACACAGAATAAAACACATCTGAGAGAACTTGCATCCTGTGACTAACTCCTGGTATGAACACATTCATGCCAATATTTGTTACTGGCTTGTGTGTATAAATGTTTATAACTGATGGAACAATTTCTGCTTTGGGTCTTTTGCCTCAGCAGCATCATGAAAAGGCCTGTGAAACATAAACAAGGGCTTCACTCAATCTGTGCCAGCAACCAGAAACTCTTTCCCAGACACCATGTTTCACACTCTCTGGAAAACCAACCAGATCTTTCTGTTTTAACGCAAGCCAAAACAGGAAAGAAGAGAAGTTTGAGTACTTTACTACAAATGGATGCCCACAGAACCCAGTGCAACATAACTGATTTGCCAAAACACAAACACATACATCAAGCACTCCAGTGCTATGTTTTTGTTGGCCCTGTGATCAGTGGAAGTAGCCTAAATTAATCTTTCAATATGAAAGGACAAATACAAGAGTGAATTAAAAACAAACTAAGAGCAGGAAAGAGACACAGAGTAAGGACTTTTCACAAAGGATGCTTTTTGTTGGTCTAAGTGGTAGACAAACTTCCATATTGTGCCACTGTGATGAAAATACTTTTAAAAGCATTTAAAAACAATGGACTAATCTGATTTATCTTGTGTGCACCGAGTATGCATATCAGTGGCGGCTCGTGGGTTTTAAAATAGAGGAGGCACACTTATTGTATTGGTCTGGGATCCCTGCCAATTATTATTATTATTATTATTATTATTATTATTATTATTATTATTATTATTATTATTATTATTATTATTATTATTATTATTATTATTATTATTATTATTATTATTATTATTATTATTATTATTATTATTATTATT